TAAAGGAGGCACTCCCGCCGGCCTTTCCTGAACTGGATTTTGTCCTAGTCACGAGGCTTAAGCTTAAGCCGAAAAGCCAGAGCTCGAGGCAGTAGCCATGCCTTTCGAGAAGTCTTTTTGGCCATGCCGGGCGCAGGACTTGGTGCGATGCCTAGAGGCCATGGCAACTTCGGATGCCATGGTGCTGGAAGCGCGCAAGGCTTGCACTCCTCTTTCCATGTTGTTGAGCATATGTTGTTGTCGGGGTCGGTGGATTCTTGTTGCAACTCTGGTCATGGGCTTCATAATATGATTGTCCACCTGCCGCAAGTGGTGCTCGTAGCAGTAGCAGTAGCACTAGCAGAAGCAGGTAGCAGTGGTAGTAGCAGTGGCAGTAGAAATAGGAGTAGTCGTCGTCGTCGTCGTCGTGGTAAAGAGTCGTCGTCGGAGTCGCATTGGCAGTCGCAGTCGTGGTCGAACATTTGCGTGTGGCGGAGCCCAAGTGCCAGCACCCGACCGACCCCGAAGCTTCGCCCGATGCCCAAACAGATTTGGGCTCGCAGATATACGGGAGTTTCCCAAATTAGGGGGTACCTTATTTAGGGGTCCTTATAATAGGGATCCTACTATTTAGGGTACTATATCAAGGCATCAAGGTCCTCTATTTTCGGAAACCCCTTTTCCGATAGACACCATGCGCCAACTTGGCAGGAGGGGCCTTTCAGAGACTTCGCGGAGCAGGCGCAGGGTCAAGACTTCAGATGAGCTCTCCTTTAAAAAGACATGCGCTGCCATAAGCTTTGCGACAGGTTTTGCTGAGGCTCGAGAGGACACTAATTCACGAATGGGATTTTACGTAAATCTCGTCGGAAGGGCCAGCGAGAGGGGGGTTGCGCTTGCAGAAGTGGTGGCGGAAATGGCTGCTGGCAGGCTCTAAAACGACTGGGGCTGGCTCCGAAAAGTCTCGTGCACGCCCCAGCGGACGGATTCTGAAAGCAGTGGAGACTAAACTCTTTCCCAACAGGAACGGCTTCGGTGTTCGCACGATTCAAAGATTATGCACGAATTTCTGTTCCTGAAGTGGGAGACACTCGGGAGAAGAACAGTAAAGGCACCGTCATCGCAGTCATTGCTTGCGCGGCCCGTGGTCCAGACCACAAATGCCACGTGATTTCTTGTTGAATATGAATATGATATGACCTTAGTGTATCAGTCTTTGCGGCTTTTCATTGCATTGAGTTTTGCGGTTTTTGACGACCAGGAAAATCACACCCACCAACAGAAACGAGATGATTTGGTCAGCGCAATTCAAGCCGTGTCAAGCAGAGGTGCAACACTTTTTCGATACAGCTTGAACTTTCAAGCAGAGGATACTGTCTTAAACGAGTACATGCCTATAGCCTCCCAGTGCACGAGCTTTCCGTTACATGGTAGGTTGTCCTTTTCGGGTCTATTGGGTTCAGTGGACGGAGCGAACTTCGAACCCCTGAAGCGCGTCTCGAAGCTTTACCGCTTTGAAGGAAGCGGAGCAGTTGCCATACCCATGACTAGTTTAGGATTCGACGTGACGCCGTTGTGCGAAGCCATGGTGACGTGGTCCCTGGACGTGGAGCAGCGAACCTTATTTTCTCCGTCTCTCCACGCTGAAATCCTGTGCAACCTCGACACCGATCACATTTCAGTCTGCATCACCAAATCCCCCATGAATCCAAACGTGTGTGTGTATGTATGTATGTATGTATGTATGTATGTATGTATGTATGTATGTATGTATATATATATATATGTGTTATGGTCTTTAAGAGCACTATGTGTCTGTATGTGTGTATGCATGCATGTATGTACGTATATGTCTACGTATGTATGTATGTATGTATGTATGTATGTATGTATGTATGTATGTATATATGTATGTAAGTATGTGTATTTATACATATATATATATATGTATATACACACATATGTATATGTGCTGGCATATCATTTGAATATATGTGGCACCAAGGACCTCAAACAGTTGCTCTCCGCTCGCCGGGCCAGCGAGGCCTTGAATTTGCCAAGGTGGGGCCAGGGAAGAGGGGGGCTGAAAGTTCCTGCTGCTGCCCCGCCCCATCACCAGCAGTACTTAAACAATGATGATGAAGGCCTCGAAGAAGGGAACAAGAGGATGAACACGATTCACTGACGTGGTTGTTGTCGATAGTATGCTTAGTATGCATGTGAGGCGCTTCGATTTTCACAAGCATTGCAATTGTGAAAATGACGCTGTCATTAACAACGTGGCTTGCCCCATATTGTCCAAGAATTTGCATTTCACATCGCCTCGTTTGAAAACCCAACGGCTCGTCTCGTCCGCGACAGCCATGCCGAAGCAGAAATAAGTCGAAAAGATCTCCCAAACCCGTGTGCTCATGTCGGCCGAGGGCGGAGCTGACCTCCGAGATTCGCCATCGGCTGGTCACCGCGACTTTGCGCTTTTGGCAAGCTCTGTTTTCTTTCGTAGGTCCGGTAGCAGGGACGACCGCAGTCCTTGAAGTCAGGAGATAACATCACGACGCAGTCCCAGAGGCTTTCTCGACGGAAATTTGAAGCCCCTTCTTACGGTCAGTTTTGTCAATTGAACTCCATGTCCGGAGGATGACTTCATTCGAAGTCACAATCCGCCCACAACTGATGCCACGAGTGCAAGCACAATGGATCGAAAAGGCAGTGGCTCTTGCCCCCTAATCCCCAATCCAAGGTGTGAACATCCCAACAACATTCGAGAACTGAGCAAGTAGTCTCCTGAGAAGCGCGAGGCTTCCAATGTCCAGCCAAGTCTCCTCAAGTCAAAGCCCCTCGGCTGCCATCCACATGTTGGTTAAGGAGGGGATCAAGGCGGGCTTGTATCCCAATAAGGTGAAGTCGTCAATGTCGTGATAATGCTGGGTCAAACTTGTCACAGTATACATGCAACTGCTCCTGTTCCTGCTCCTGCTCCGCTGTTGCTACGGCTACTTCCTCCTCCTCCTCCTGCTCCTGCTCCTGCTTCTGCTCCTGCTCCTCCTCCTGCTCCTCCTCCTGCTGCTACTGCTACTGCTTCGGCTAGTAATGGCTAGTATACTTCTTCTACTACAACCCCTGCTCCTGCTCCTGCTTTTTGCTGCTACTGCCATACAACACCGCCTCCTGCTCCTGCTCCTGCTCCTGCTCCTGCTCCTGCTCCTGCTCCTGCTCCTGCTACTGCTCCTCCTGCTCCTCCTCCTGCTGCTGCTACTGCTATTGCTACGGCTAGTAACGGCTAGTATACTTCTTCTACGACAACCCCTGCTCCTGCTCCTGCTCCTGCTCCTCCTCCTGCTACTCCTCCTCCTCCTGCTGCTACCGCCATTGCTAAGGGTAGTATACTTCTTCTACTACAACCCCGCCGCCTCCTCCTCCTGGTCCTGCTCCTGCTCCTCCTGCTGCTCCCGTTCCTTCTCCTCCTTCTCCTCCTGCTCGTTTTAGTACGATATGGCAGTAGCAGTCTTACCAGAATCGAAAGTAGGAGCCGCCTTGGAGAAGCAAGAGTAGCAGAGATAGTCATACTACTGAACTGGTTTGGTAGCAACAACCTTGACACTGGCTACAGCAGCAGCATTGGTACACCCGTCGCACGGCGCAAAATGCCTTTGTTTCGCGTCGCTGACTACCAGCAGAAGCGAGCTCGTGGTCATGGGCTCCATGGGTTCAGGGCTTCCTGTTCAGTGGGGATTTCGGGATAGTGGAGTGCCTCTGCAGAGCTCCCCTAAGTTCTACATTGACATCCACAGACTTCTCTCCACCCCTTGAAAGCCTGGAGGCCCTCGCCGGCTGAGGATGGCGGGAGACTCGAAGGGGAAACGTTTCGGGTCAAGGTTGAGGGGATATTCAGGGCGTGAGGTTCAGGGATGTTCAGGAGTTCTGGTCGGGTGACGATTGTGTTTTGAAAGGGTTTCGGGTTTCTCGCCTTGTTTGGGCTCGAGGAACTCATGTTCGCCTGAGCTGTGTTGCTTTTGATGTGGCTGAATTGTGTTCGGGTCTGGCAGCTTATGGTGATGTAGGCCGTGGTACATCTAGTAAGACAGCGCTGGAATGTTATCACAAGGGTTGCGTGTGCCGTGTATGTGACATGGATGGTCACTGTGTCGCAGTCACAGGGGTCTGGCAGGTTTGGGGTTGCGGGTGAGGATTTCAAAGTAAGCTCTTCGAGCTGCGGGACTCGCAGACAGGGAGTCACTCCGTGCAGAGGCCAGCCCAGCCTGAGCGAGAAGCGAGAGACGGTGGCCATGATCACTGGTGCACATGCACTCAATGAGGCCTTGCTTTCGGTAGCATCCCAGCTCAGTCGGACCTCAATTCTCGTGATTCGATGTATGTTTGTATGTCTGCGTGTATATATATATATACATATATATATATATATATATCTACATATGTATCCATGATCGGCTTTGAGTGCCGGTCCGTCGGCGTGGGAGCTTGTGAGTGCTCTTTGGAAGGGGTTCAACAGTGTTTGTAAGATTCGGTGAGATCCGCCTTCTGCTGCTCCTGTTCCTGTGCAGCTGCTGCTGCAAAGACGGCAAATTTTGACTTAGATTGCTGCTGCTGCTGCTGCTCCTGCTGCTGCTCCTGCTGCTGCTAGCTCGGAAATATTGGACCGCAACAGGGACGATGTAGCAATTCTCCTCAAAATGTTGCAGGTTGAAGCATCGAACCTGTTTAGGTTTTGCATATCCCCGTCTGTCTTTGTGTCCCACTCTGGCAGGTCGGCGTTCTCCGAAGTTTCCACGTTCGAGAAGCGCTCATGCCCGGTTCATAGACTGCTTTGGATGCAGTCAAAATGCAAAGTTGCGACCAGTGTAGACTCGTGCGGACGCAGGCCTGGCTCCGGTATTATAGATCGGTCTTGGCTCGAGTCGCAGCCCCTGCGTGCTCGCCATCAGCCCCAATCCTTGAAACCCATCCCAGCAGCTGCTCCTCTTAGAGACTGAGACTTACGTTCAGATGTGGGCCCCTCGGCCATGAGCTACGTCGATGCCGGCTGGCTGCCCCCCCAGAGCGAATCCGAGCAGGGCAGCGACGCGGAGGAGCCAAGGGCACCGAAGCGCAACTGGGGCTGGGATGTCCAAGTTTCTCCTTTTTGCGTTGCCAGGCCTCAGTCAGATCCAATCATGGTGCAGCTTAGATTTCAACCCACGGCCTGCTCTCGCCAGGACCAGGGACATGTTGATGGTTTGCCGAACTACGGCGATGTGCACTTCTGGACCGAGGCTAGGTGGTCGCTTTCCGTCTTATCATCCTGTCCTAAGTGGTCTTCCTCGTTGCTTCCACTTCGCTTTGTGCGGCCCCATCGGGCGTAGAAGGCCGAGGACCCAGAGGCCTGGATGTCGCTAGTCCGGGCTCGCTTCCACTTTTCGATTGAGCATGGGGTTTCAAGTTTGCCCTCTGGGCGCAGTCCAGCTGACGAGCTCCAGCGCATCCGCAAAATCCGACGCATCAAGTCTACCTGTTGCACCAAAATTCTCACCCCTACTCAACTCACAGAGACTGTCACCGACTTTCGCCGCAGACCATCCGAACGAAGCTGTGTGGGCACTTGCCTCACACACACCGCATGTATGGGGCAGAACTGAAGTTGTTCGATCACGTGCTGTGAGCATCTCCACTCTTGGCAATGAACTGTAGCTTTTGGAGATTGGGGCTTGGCACTTTGCTTCATGCCATGGAGAAGTTTGGTGGTTGGTCTTTGGGAAGCTTTAGGACCTGAGCCCCAATCGCAAGCGGAGGTTTACACACAGCAGCGAGGGCGCGAGATGGCACCCAAGGACTGCTCGAGTACGTTACTGTTGGTCCCCCTTATTCTTCCTCCTCTTGTCATTCGTTTTCTTGCTGCGCATGCTTCCTTGAAGCAACATATGCCTCGGCAATGATGGGTCTGTGTTGTCTTATTATTTCTTGCTGGCATGCCAGTCCTCCTTCGTCTTCCTGTCCTGCAGTTTTCTGTTTGTTCTCGTGGACATGGGTGACTGCTAGTGGTTGTCATTCTACCGATTTTGCAGTTATAGCTGATCATAGCTGTCTGTTGCTCCTGGTTTGTTTGTGTTACCAATGATCATGATCGTTTCCAGTGCTGATGAACTGGAAGATGACGAGAACGATGCAGGAACCCTTTGACCCAAGAGGACAACACCTGAGCCGTGAATACAGCAGGAACCATTTCCCCGAGACAAGGAGTCAATCCACCGAGAACCTTTTGCCCAACACGAAAACCCTAGAGAGTGAATCCAGCAGGAACCTTTTGTCCGAAACGAAACCAAACCCTGAAAGCGACTTTCCACGTGGGTAAGTCGCTTCCGCACCGTAAAAATGAGGGCTCAAGGGACACTGCGTGTGCCTTACATGCGCCAGAGCGTGAATGCGATTTAGATGCGCGAGCGACTCTCTACTTCGGGGTTCGCCCATGGACGGAAATATCAACTGATTGTGCATGATGTAGATGTAGATGTAAATGTAGATGTAGACCAGATGTAGACGTAGAAGTAGAAGAGACGTAGAAGAGAAGTAGGACAAGAAGAAGAATAATCATAAATCATGGCTCCAGGAGTGGCTTCTCTCCTACTCGCACTTTGTCGCGCAAGGCACCTTCGGGATGAGGTTCTGATGGGGCAGAGAGTCTCGCCGCGCAGTTGAAGCCTCGAGGACAAGTTTGCGAGTCAGAAGCCCCAGCAGATCCCAAGAAGCCGCTGGCGCTCAGGGTGGCTTCGCTTCTTCCCCTCCAAGGCCGCTCGGATACTGGACTTGGGCTGCGGAGACTCCGACGCTCAGGCTGATCAAGAGGTTCAGGGCTCCGCAGGTTTTGTCCCGGTGATGCATTTAGCTTGGAACGGTTGAGGGCGCGAGGTGTTGTGCATGTATAGGCAGGAAGAGCCAGGCACCAGAGGTTTTCAGGCGCCCTGCCGCAGTCAACGCCAATTCCTCCGGATGCTTCCTTGTACAGTCCGGCGACGAGCTGCGATTGGACATAGTTTGCATTCTTCGAGCAAAGGAGTTCATGTCGGAGGCCTATGACGATGGGTATGAGGACATAACTGGAGTTGACATTGTGCCAGCAGTTCTGGACACCATGAAGCAGCTGAACGCTTCGAGACGGCCTGGTATCAAGTACGAGCTGGCGGCGTGCTGACTGCATTTCAGCAAACGGTGTCTCGGTGACAGGTTGTGGCTTCGGAGCCCGGCGCGCTTGTGTTACCCTTGTGCACCTCAAGAGCCCCACCAGGATGCAAGAGAGCTTTCTCTGTTTCCTGACGGCTCTTTCGACGTCGTCTTTGACAAGAGCACGCTGGATGCTCTGAAGTGTGCTGGGCAGGATGCGACAAGTCAGATGTCATCTGAGATCCACCGCATTCTGTCAAGCGACGGTGTGCCTTGACGGCAGCCCGAGTCGGACAAGTCGTGCTTGGAAGACTTTGAGGTGAGTTTCTTGATAGTCTTGAGCATGAAGGACTAGAGGTCGGTCTGCTTCTGTCCGACAGACTGAGGTGTACCTCTGCGTGAGTCTGAATACCCCAGAGGAGGCTCAGCCGGCCATCGCCGCTTGTCTAGTGCAGGGCGCAGAGCTTCGTGGAAGCTTTCAGTGCATGTTGCCGAGGAGCACACGGCGCATGAAGACCGTGGATGGGATGTGCAGGTGCTGGTGTGCGAGAATGAGACCTTCGGCTGTGCAAATGGTCTGATCAGCTGAGATTTCGGACTAGGGCAAAGGGGCTTCAGGGATGAAGACGGGAGTTTCTTGTGAGGGTTTCAAGGTGAAGTTTACTTGGAGGCTTTTCACTTGGCCTGACAATGAATACTTGCCTGCGTCTTGGACTCTCTGACTGCGCTGCAGGAGATACGACGGAAACGACGACGGGCCTCCGAAGCATCTTTACATGTACGTTGCGCGCAAAGTGCCGTCAAAATCTGTGTGCAGGATTCTCTTGCTGTGCCCAGGCCCCGAAGCCCCCCTAGGCTCTACATAAAGGTGTAGGCGTGGGGAACTCGAAGTTTAGTCCTCGTTCGTGGCTAAGAGTTTCCGTCTTGGGCACCTGACCTCATCCTGCGCGGATCGTGCATCAATAGGCTCCAGCTTTGGATCAGAAGCAGGCACCCGGGACCCTGAGTCCTGACTCTGCCCTACAAGTACCCTTGTGAGGGGATTGCCTGGAAGTTACCGAGAGCCAAGCCAGAGAATTAACGGTTTTTAGAGTTCCTTTTTGAGGGGTTCGTGATTTGTAGGTTTCCAATTGAGAGATTTTTGTGATCCATTTGTGGCTGTGTGTTTCGACTCGTGCTTCGGTTTGAAGGCGATTTGATTTTTACAGACTAAATAGAGATAAGTTACAGAGAATTTATATAGAGAAACTTGAGAGACATTGGAGAGTCCTCGGAACTAGAGAGGAAATTGATAGAATTTTGCAGGAGATTTGAAAGAAATTGGAGAGTCCTAGGAAGAAGAGAAAAACTAAAGAGAGAGATTTGAGAGTCCTAAGGCTTACGCATGTGGTGGCAAATGCAATGACTTTATTTTCTGTCAATACAATTTTAGCTGCCCCGAGCTTTCTCATTTGGCCTCAAATCTATTTTCAATTCTTTTCAGGGTTTTTCTCAGGCTTCTCTCACACTCCTTCTTGCAAGACGAGAATCTGCGATCGTCAGTCCCGCTCGCTGAGATTCCGCAGATTGTTTTTGCAATAAATAGATCTAGACGGTATATTGAAGACTCCCAGGCCTGACTAAGCCTTGCCAAGGCTGGACACACTCAGTCTTGACCTCAGACTTTCATCGGGTACTCACGTTTTGCAGTGGTGCGTTTTTCACGATGCTAGGTATGAGCCGATGTCCATGCTGCTGTGCTCGAGGGCTCGGTTTGGGTTGAATTGTTCTACAGCCCCCAGTTCAGGTAGCAGGCACGTGGCTTTGACACGATGCGGCATATGGGACCAGATGCTTCGTAGCTCCGCCTCCCTCTCGGTCAGAGAGCAGGGATGTGCTGCAAATAGACTCGTGCTGTATCACTGTATCATCCAGCACCTGAAGTTTCATCGCCCAAAGCGTGAAAAGAATAAACCAAGTCCAGCAGTTGGAAGGAACACATGCTACGGAATCCCCCCGCATGCCTCGAACTCTCAACACTTGACTCTGAAAGCAGTGAGGCGTCAACGATGCATGCGAGCTTCTCAGGCGCCCCGCACCACTGAAGCAGAAAGAAAGCCGGGTACTATGGTAGTCTTGTCGGAGCAAGAAAGTAAGAACACAATATTGCTACAAGTAGGGGCTTAGATCATCTTTTTGTTTGTTGTTCAGCTTCTTGTCAAGGGACGGGCACCAGAGCGTGGGGGACTGGAGAGCTTTGTGTCCAGGGTGCTCAGAGGTTTAAACTGTGTAAACATGACTCGAACTAGTACCAGTATTGCTTCCAATGGCACTTGCATTTGCGCAGGATCTTGCCTTAAAGCAGCTCTCCATTATTCGGTCTTGGTGTTAGGGCTGTCCGGTGAAGATGCATAACCGCTGCGCCCTGAGCTCAAGCTGGCGCCGCAGACGGCAACGATCTGAGTGCACTTGTGCGGACGGAGTGCTAGCCGGTAGTCATGATCGTGGTATGTTGGCTATGGATCTCATCATCGTCGTCAATGGAGCCTTTTCCGCTTAAGCTCTTTTTGTTCATGCATCCTTTTACCCGTGCCCATCTGTGCCCGGAGCGGGCTTGGCTTGTGCTGTTCCCTCACCGGGTCCCACAGCCTCAGAGCTCCCGAAGGCCCCAAGCTGCGCCCCAAGACCAAGAGCCCCAGAGAGAGCGGACGCAGATACGCCGTGCCGGAGAAGCAGGGCCTGTCCCTCGTCTTTGCCTCAGTGCTCTTTCGAGCAGAGTTCGGGCTTGCTTTCCCTCGGTTTCCTCTTCGTGAAGCCCGTGCCACAGGAGTCTCGGCCGCCCGGAGTTCAGGAAGCAACCTGTGAAACCCTAGAACCCCCGAAGCCTAAGCTACTAAGCCCGCAAGCTCGACCCGCTGACGCCGGAAACCCTAAACCCTAAAACCCTTAAAACCCCTGAACCCTGGACCGTCTGCAGCCATTTGGAAAAGACTGTTGGAGCTTCGGTGCCACACGGAGATTTGCAGCCATGGCAGTGGAGGTGCGGTGTGTTTGTAAGGGAGACTTCCGCAGGCGATTTTTCGGAAAAGCCCGTCCTCGCATCGTTCGGGATCCTACAGCACCTAGATTGTACCTGTATCTCTCGAGCTGGGGGAGGTTTCTTCAAGTCGCGTCCACGCTACTCGTGGCATTTGCTGAGCGCCTGCGACTCCGCAGGGCGAGACTGCGGTGAAGATCGCATCCACCTTCTCGTGGCACCCCGGCAAAACGGAGGTACAGATACCGAAACTTGTTGATTCTGTTGATCACATCTGCCTGGCTTCTGCCCCAGGCCCACCAGTCACCAAGTAAATGGTGCTCATAAGTCTTGAACCACACATCTCTGATGAGGCAGGATGTCTCCATGACTGTGCAGAAAGGCAAGAAGCAGGACTGTGACACATGGGCCACGGGCCGGGGGCCAGGTGATTTAATGAAAGCTTGAGGTAGGAAGGAACGCAGGTCTCAAGTCCCAGACCGATTAAATCTGAAAAAGCCCTCCATATCCTGGTTGAGAGCCGCAAGGAGAAGCAAATCCTCTCCAACATCTCGGGCTCGCTCAGCAGTGGCAAGGTTTGCGCCCTGATGGGCCCGTCCGGCGCAGGACCACCCCCAAAACCGGCCATTCAGGGCTCGCCCCGGGTGTTTGGCGTGAGGTTGCTGGCCCCAAACCTTGCATTCTTTGCCTCGAAGAATACTATTTGGCAAGACCTGGCCAGGTTGTGCATGGACGACAGATGTGCGTCTGTATGGTATGTGATCCTGCTTCGCTGAAGTGAAGAGTTTCGCAATAGGTATCAACCACTCTTGCACGAGGTTACCCCACCCCCCATCACTTTCTGTTTCTGGTTGCATTCGAGAACATGGAAAGCCTTTCGTAAAGGGGATGGTTGGACACGAAGAGAAATCAGGAAACGGGCCCTTGCACTTTCTCTGAAGGAAAGACATCGCTCCTGAACGTCTTGGCCGCTCGCATTCGCACTCGTGGAACAACGGAGGTCCGGTTTGCCCGTTACTCGATCGGTGCATCTGTTGTGACGCTTGCCCTTGAGAGAATGATCTCTGCAGGTGACAGGAAACATTACTCTGGATGGTCAACCCATCACCGGGTCCTCCCTCCGAAAGCGCATCGCGTACGTTATGCAGCAGGACCGTCGCAGAGGGGAAATGTGTCGTGTCTTGAGTAATGGCTTATGCAAAGAAGACTGAGATGGGATGGCCAAGATTCTGCAGGTGCGTATGGCGGGCCTGTCTGTTGCAGGTGCTTAGATGGGCCTTGTCTGACATTTCAGTCGTTTTAAACCGCAAGCTTCCAGTTCGTCAAAAGCGCGCACATGAAACAGAAATCCCCGTCCTGTTGATTTCGTGAGCTCATGTGAGCTCAGTGTCAGGACACCGTAAGTCAGCCGAGGTGATGTCCCGGGTTGCCTGACCGCCGCATTCTGACACATAGCACGCTCAAGCAGTCCTCGGCTAAGGCTTCAGGCTCACATGCTTAAACAACGAAATTAATTCGAGGACCCGCTGCCAGTGCCAGAAGCAAAACCGCAGCACCACAAACTCAACCAGCTCGAAGCAGTGCGAGACGCTGACGAGAACCACCATCTGGATTGAAGCATTACTTCAGTTCTGATTATTAGATTATAGTTCGGATTATTGTTATTGGGAGCTTTCGGCTTGGAGCAGAAACGTCCAAGATGCTTGGGCCTTTGTCAGGACATCCTGGTGCCAACTCAGACTGTCCGGGAGTCACTTTGGTTGCTAGGCCCAATCTGTGACAGACGCTGTACTTGGTGGGTTTTCGGCGATCTTTTTGATCGGTGAGGGTTCAGGATATCTGGGCTTGACTGAGCTCGCAGTGATCCGTTGTCAAGTTCAGTGCCCTCTAGCTTGTGCGAAGCAACTCGACGTGTCGTGGAGCGCACTTGATTGCATCCAAGAAGTCAATACCGAGAAGTGCCGATGCTTTCGAGTCTCATGACTAGTCGACCACTTGCGGCTCTGGCCCGATGGCGTACACATGGTTCCTTCCTGGACTTCATCTGGGCCTCTACAAAGGTTTTCAGCGAACCTTCGGCTGCCCAAGAGCTACAGCATGAAAGACAAGAAGGCCGGAGGGCTCTGGGAGTTTCGTGGACGCCTGAGAACTTCAGGCTTTCCAGCTGCAAACGTGTCGATCCCTTTGGGGCTAGCTCTGCTACGAGATAGAACAGGACAGGGTAAGCCATGGAAAGAGACACATAGATGATAGTTGATAATGGTATGTGGTATGTGTGTATGTACATTATGTACATACACAAACACGTACGTATATAAGCCCCAAAGCGGCATGAGGATTTTAGCACTACCCTTGGTGCAGTGACACTGACATGCATCGCGCAGAGACCCAATCTAGCCGCTGAGCTCAGCCCGGAAGACCCCAGCCCAAGAGATCGAAGGAACTGGTGGAGAAGATGTTGGTCGACCTCGGCTTGGTGAAGTGCGCCGACACCTACATCGGCCACTCCTCCCGTTTGTGGTTGAAGGCTTGATTGAGCTTAGGCCTCCAGCTTCCGGGTCCTTGCGATACGGATGCCCCGCGCTCTCTTGGAGATGCTTCTTCAAGCTTCCCAGGAGTACAGACGAACAAGGTGCAGAAGCCATACAACCCTGCAACGATCCCAAGCCCTTAGCGGGGTTCCGAAAGATGCCCAAATTCTTTGCCCCGTCCGTGCCTCATGCGCAAAGCAGCCAATTTTCACACAACGTAGGGATCCCGTAGTATGCACAAGGCGAGACCAATCCCTACGCAAGCCGCATAATCCTGAATGTTCAAACCCCCACCGCAAAACTATCAGCCCAGGCGACGAAATGATCCGCGGGGTTTCCGGAGGTGAGAAGAAGTGCCGGGCTTGGCCATGGGGCGGTCTCGGGCTAGGGTTTCGGATGTTGTTTTGGATTTGGTCCCTCGGTCTTAGGTCAGGGTTGGGACTTTGGGCCGTTTTGGGTTTCAGAGGATCTGCAGTTTTGGCGTGCTACGGGGACCAGTGGAGTTGGCACCGCTGGATTGCATGCGTGGGTTTAGCATTTCTTCTGCAACTTGCAACCAGGCACCTCCCCAACCTCTGCGAGTTTCATTCTCCCGTCCCTGAAGGAGATTCTCCCGTCTTCCAACCTCAAAACTAGCCTCAGCCTCCTGCATGAGGCGTACCTGCGTCGGAATCGAGCTCATCATGAAGCCCAAGCTGATTTTCTTGGACGAACCCACCTCTGGCCTGGCCGCTCGGCTCATCAGGGGACAATCCAGCCATCCGGCTTGACAGCTTCTAGTTTCGTCTCTGCGATGCACGACCATACGACTGGCACGCTCTAAGAGACGCCCAGGATTCGTATGCTGCACACAACGTCATCCTCAAGCTCGAGGAATCTCGGGCCTGGCGTTTCAGTGATTGCGTTTCAGTGGTTTGAAGGAGCGGTCAGCCCTTGCGGGACCCCGAGGCCGCGGGTTTGTTCCACCCAACAAATAATTCCAACATTTAAAAATAAGCAATATGTATATATATATATATATATATATAGTATGTATATATATATATATACACATAACATATAATATCTAGTACCTACAGGAGCTGGCCAGCAAGGAGGGATGCAACGTGCCACCGGGCCGCAGTTCCACGGGAGGGGGGGGGGGGTGGGTGCAGGGCGAGTCAGAGCCAGGAAGCTTAGGGTTGGGTCGTTTGCTTTGGGTTTAGGGTTTAGGAGTTTATAAACCCTGAACCTGAGTAACATTTCCAGAAACCTGAAGCAGAAACAGAGTGCGGATCCGGGGGCCAGCGCGAAAGCTGAGGCTCTGTACCATCCACCAACCATCGTCGGAGGTTTTCCACCTCTTCAACAAGGTCGGAAATCCATGAGACATCAGCTTGCTACCCGAAGTAAGTTTGTACTGCCACAGCAAATCCTAGATAAGCCTTCCACTCCATGATCGCGACGAAGAAGTCATAATGTTTAGTAATAACTGAAATGGCAGTTCGAAGCCGTGCCCTGAGTTTTCTTGATTTCGCTCCGGGTACAATTCGAGTGTTTTTCGCAAGTCGAAAGTCGGCTGTTTCGCATACTGCGATCTGGCACGTTTTAGTTCGCTCGAACTTCTCGTCATCCTCGCCATTTCCCGAGCCTGGCATCCACCAGGTCATGCTCCTGCGCAGCGGCAAGCTGTTCTTCTTCGGTGGTGTGTCTGGCTTGTCTGTGCGGGTCTGAGAATGGGCCTACTGGGTCAGTGGTTTAGGGGCAAGGCTGCATGCATTAGAGTTGAATTGAGGTCTTTTTGTTTTTCTCCTTTACGAGGTTTTCTCTCCCCGAACTCTGCACGCCACGTCAGCACCAGATTGTCAGATACCGGCGGATGTCTTTGTGTTGAAGAAGCCTTGGTGGGTGCTCTGGGAACTTCCGATATAGCCACGCTTCAGGTTCTGCGTTTCGGGCTCATCAAGCATGTAAATGTAAAGTGAAGGACACGAAGCGAAAATGCGATACTTTAAAGGGCACATACCAGCTTTCTCCCCGCCTCGTCTGCATATTTGTTCTGGAATTGGCCATGGTTGGCGAAACCAGACTAGTTCCCACTACTTTGGAAGCGTTGCTCATTCGCTTACAGTATGCTTGCAGACTGAGCTTCCGACACCCCGCTTACGCGAAGCCTTGTCGCCCTTAAAAAAGCCTGATCCATCTCCAATGTCTCTGTCGGTCGACAGGGGCAGCTGCATGCCGTCAACAAGGGCTGCCCGAACGAGTTCAACCTCGCAGACCATGTGATGTTCCTGCTGCAGAGCCTGGGAGCCATTCGTGCACTCTTGCGCTTGTCTGGGGGTTGCCGGATGATTTCTTGGTTAAACCCATAAAGTTTCGCACCTCGGCGCCTTCGGATCGATTTGACTGGCCTTTCTTAGGACGGAGGCCGAGGCGGAGTTGGATTCCATGCAGGCTGGGCCCGGGCCACAGGTCGCATTGGGGGGGTTTTCCAAGAGGGAGGAGGTTTGGGGTCAAATAAAATATCTTGACAAGTCTCGGCAGTCTCAGGATCCGAAGCCATTCTTACCCGCTTGAGGGCGTACTTTCGGTGCCCTGCTCACCCTCAATGCTTGGAGCCCTCAGATCTGCATGTCCCACCACTTCTTTGCGATCCTTTATGTGACCGCAGGCTAAGATGATCATGGAGACGCCGGCTGCGGCTGGGGACCTGGCTCTTTACAGTAGCGGGGCTGTGGGTCTGGACATCTTGTGAGGGCGGGATTGTGCAACTTACGGATGCAGATGGATTCGGATGAAGACGGTGGTAGTCATGAGAGCTGCGCAGCTGCCGAGTCGCCTTCTGCGACCGTTTGTCCTGACTCAGGGTGCAAGTCCGGATGTGCCGCACGACAAGAGTGTGATGACCAAGACACCCGGCTTGACACAAAGAGTTTGCGGCAAATGGTCTGAGATGGGGTGGACACCGAAGTCGTGGCAACCAAAGCGCCCCGAGGACGATGGAGGGCGCCACGGCCGGCTTCTTGACCCAGCTCATGGCTCTCACGAAGCGAGCTCCGGCACACATCGAGGGGTACAATCTTCTTTCGGATTGCGGGCTCCGCAGCTTCAGTGGCGGAGGTCTGACTGTGGCCTCAGGGCTTCTGTTGCCCTGACCCTCACAGCACCGCAGGAGAGGCTCAGAACCTCTGGAGAGACAAGCCCGGGTTGATCGCCTCCATCATCATCCCGGTGATCCTGAACGTCTTCTTCGCCGCCATTTTCTACCAGGCAGGATCCCACAAAGCATGCGTGCTCCTGGGAACCAGAGTCTTCAGAGCACCTGGCGTTGTCGGTCATGACCTCGCGGGCCGTAAGCCCAAAGGGAAGAGCTCGTGCTGATCGGATGTAGGTGGGTGACATCACCTTGGACACCTATGACCCACGCTCCCACTTCGGCGGAATGACGCAGGCTGGTTACTTATGTCCCAACGCATACTATGAACAAGTGCAACAAGTCTGGCCACAATTGTTCTGCTGCAAGCTTCCTGAGAATTACATCATCGCGAAAGGGAGGGGGGTATAGCGGGTGAAGCACAGAAAAGTTCTCAAGACCCGCCTAGATAAGCAGGACGACCCAGGCTGGAAAGTCAAATGCTATGCATGATCTGAGCTCTCTTCGGCTATCAAGACGAAGGTGGCTATCGGAGGCATGTTCGGTGCCGCGCAGCCGTGCCTCGGCAGCACTGTGCTGTGAGGTGTTTCCTGACAATCGCATTGCCTGGTTGGTCCAGACATCCGTAACTAGTCGGATAATTTCTCTTAGGGTTCAGGGAGCGATGGCTCTGGGCTCTGTGGCGTGGGATGTCACGGGATGAAGATAAAACTTGAGTTGAGAGACTTGAGGCCGGGTTCAGATTTCAAAGAGTCAAAGAGCTCCGGGGATGCAAGGGGCTTCGGATGGCTTCCCTTTGATGGGGTGCCCTTCGCCGCAATTCTGCTCGCGTAGCGGTGCACGGCTGCCCCCAGAGTCTACGCAGGACCCAAAAGACTTGTTCAATCTTGTTCAGTCACGGTAAGATGTCGATGACATGCACTGGTGCTTAGGTTGCTTTTGAAGTTCCCTTTGGACCGCGGCATTTTCCTCCGTGGCGCAGCGGAAGTGAGACGGTCCTTCCGGGGCTTAGGCACTCCATTTCTCAAGACATGCTGGAAACTCGCTTGTTTGTTAGGTTCGGAAATGCTGTTCATTCGAGCTTTGTTGATTCGCAGCTAATGCAAAGAGTTCTTGGTGTTTGTAAGGAAAGGACTCCCGTATCCATCAGCACATCGTATACAGTGTACACAGTGTACGTTGCGGTGGACGGATTAGATTGTGTCAGTCAGAAGCCTTTGGAGGACCCTAGTACCTTACGTCACGCTTGCCAGTTCAGCAGCCGCAAAGGTACCAAGGCGCAGACACGAATTTCCTAAACAGGGCTATCATTCATTAAGGGCCCTGCTGCAGAGCTACACTGAAGATAATCTCATGCTCCAAGTAAACCAAACCCCCGCGGATGAGTGATCCGAGGTGAGTACGCGACTTCAACCTACGGCTCCGCAGCATACTTCCTTTCGTGACTTGGGCTGCAATCCTTGGGGTTCCGGGTCCGGGTAGAAAAAGGGCAGGTTTCGGATTTTCGGGGACATTTAGGTTTCGCGTGCAGGCTGGACACAACCATAGAGAAAACTCTTTCCAAGTGGAAGCCTGGAGTCTGCTCTCTCTGGTGGGCAGCATGCCAAGACAGGAAGACGATGGTGGAGCTTCCGCAGTCCTTCCTGAATGCTGCAGCTTTTATGCAAGTCTGAGCCATCGGCCCTGCAGCAAGGCGTAGAAGATGTAGAACCGAAGCAGAGTGGATAATTAATGATAATTAATGATAATAATAACAATAATAATAACAATAATGATAATAATACTAATAATATAATAGTGTATATTGATGGTCCGGCTGAGGCTTCGAGGTCCCCGTGAAGCCTCAGGATGCCCAAGTCCGAGCCACAGGTCATCACCTGGACGGCTGCCTACTTCCTCATGGGCCTGCGAGGAGTGCTGGCCCTTGGGGCTCTTGTTCGATTCAAAAGGTCTCAGATGTCGGGTAGGTCTCCCCGTCTCCCCGCCTCCGGGAATGTTTGAACTCCTTTGGGTGCAAGAAGTGCACAGCTTGAAGAATTTTGTGACCTGCAGGGCAGTTCATGATTTACGTCCTTGTCTTCTGGGTCACTGGTGTGGCTGCAGCTTCCACCGCTGTTCTGGTCGGGTGCTTGGCAGCCAATGCCGAGGCCTTCCGATGGGCAAGCAGTCAGAAAGTTTTTTGTGATTGCTTCCACCCACATAAACCCCTAAACCCTAAACCCTAAACCCCTAAACCTAGCCAAGAGCCTTTTGCTTTTTGGCAAGGGGGGGCATGTCTGCAGGTGGCACAGCAGGCCGCTCCCGCCGTTTTCGTGCCGCAGCTGCTCTTCGCCGGCTTCTTCATCACAACGGAGCCTCGGCTCGGGGCACTTTCGGACTCGCAGTCCCGGGCTGGAAGGAACTGAGGAAAGGGTTCAACATAGAGACCGAGAGATCGAGCCAAAGTTAGTGACCCAGGGAAGGTCCGCAACGATGCATCATCGTGGCTTCGAGCATTGTGTTCTGACAAGACATGCACAGATAAGCCATGGCGATATTGAAAGGTTTTATGAAACTTCTGCGCCAGCATGGCTTTCAGCGTAGGCCGTCGTGGCACCGTGAAAGAAAAAAATGACTGAAGCTCAGGAGCAGATTCCAGCCTGGCTGAGATGGGCGTCCTATTTGTGCGCCCTGAAGTATGGCATGAACTTGACTCTCGACCGATCGGAGCAGGCGATAATGTTGAGCTTCCTTTCCAGGGCAGAGCTTTGAGCCCAAAAACCCCAAAGCCTCGACAGCAAACTGTCCCGAAGTCCTGATCTCAAAGACTTCGTGTTCTTTCGTGTGGAATCAGGATGTTGCGCTCTGTCTTCTCTTCGATGTCCCTCGTGTCCGTGCTTTCTGGAAACTTCTGCGAAGCTGCCAAGGAACATCCTGAATGAGTTCGGCTGCATCCTTGGACTTGCAGAGCAATACGTACTCTTGGAAAATAAAAATAATGCAAGAAGCTACATCACACTTTGAGTCTGTGGCTGCTTGTCTCCACATCAGCTGCTGCATGTGCATCGAAGTCGATGTTTGCATCTGTATCTTTCTACCTCAATACGGCATTGGCGTATTATGCAGTATGAATCGTATGAACATATTACGCAGAAGTACTTGTAACAAGTAATAGGCCATGCTGTTCAGCAAACAGTATTCGGTACGTTGTGCATATTCGTCAACGGCAAGTTTCACAGCCTGTTCAGATTTCGCTACCTATTATTATTAGTGTTATTATCAAGTTCTTCTTCTTCGTGTTACTATTACTATTAGTATTGGTAGTAGTTCTCATCATGATGATGCGTATTGTTATCATTATTGTTATCATTTTTTTCTTCTTGTTGTTTGTGTTGTAATAGAACAACCACAAGAATGAGACGAATACTACTGGTAGTAATTCTCATAATGAGAATCAGAACAATAATCAGAACAATAATAATAACAATAAGAAGAAGACGAATAATGAGAAGAAGAACATGGATATGAACAACAACAGCAATGATAATACTAAACAATAACAATACGAAGTAATAATATTCAAAAGAAGAACAACAGCAGCAGCAACAACAACAACACCAACAACAACAACACCAACAACCGTAATAGTAATGATGATGCGACTAGCACAAATAATACTACTAATACTACTAATAATTAATTAAATCATATTCATCATCATCCACATAGCAGTGATAAATCTCGAAGTATAATCTCAGAATATAAAGATAATAATACTATTCTTCTTCTTCTTCTGATTGCTGTTTCTATTTTTTCTTCGGGCGGGAGGGGGCGGAGTTGTGGGTCCGACCTACTAGCATACACACACATACATACATACATACATGCACAACGCATAGCTATGTGGACCCAGCATCGGCGGGATCTGAGCAACACCCGGCGGTGGACCCCACAGATCCCGTGAAACCCGGTGCTGGTGCATACTACATTCGTGTTCGATAGAAGCGCAGAGGGGCGCATCCTACTATCTCTCATGTAAGAGTTGGTCCTAGCTTCTGTTTTGTGCGAAAAGCGTGCTCCCTTCAGGCCCGGATGCAGTGTCGAGCTGGCCGGACATCTACACGTTCAACCCTGCAACAGGCGCTTGGAATCAGAGAAGAAGTCATTGAATGGACCAAGTGCAGCTTCGGCACTGAAGGGTGCCAGTCCGGGGTTCTCGATGCGTACTCCAAGCTCATGGCAGGAGGGAGAGACGAAGCACGGAAGCGACATGCGTCAAAGCCTTGTTTTGTTAGAGCCCGAGCGAAATTTGTGAAGGCAATATCAGGAATCGAGGTGGCTCTTGCCTTTCGTAGCCGAGAGAATAATCATGTATGCTCGTCCGCTGCCTTCTGGGTAAGGATCGGTAAGGCGTCTTGATGCGTCCTGTGCTGCGTGTGATCGGCCGTGCCAACTAGTGCACTGATTTTCGCTGCTGTCCTGTGCTGTCCTCCCTCCCGTTGCACCAGGCATGAAGGATGTGCCTCTCAAGGCCACCGTCAATGCCGAGTTCGTAGTCAGGAACAGCCGGCTGGTTGCAATTGATGATCATCGACATCTTGCCCAGGCTGGGGTTACAAGCAGACATGATTGAAATGTGAGGTATCGACCCAGACCACGTCTGGGTTTACGTGGGTGGCTTCGCTGCAATTCTCTGCCTTGTGCCTCATGAAGACTGGCTGGTGAGGCGTGAGGCACGATCGTGTTGAATCCAAGACATCTCCCTGAAACCCTCAACCAAGATGCCTAAACCCTAAACCCTAAAACCCTAAACCCTAAACCCTAAACCCAAGCCGAGGAATCCTGCTGGCCATCATTGTGGTCGTCCGGATGCTGTCGATCCTGGCCCTTGCGAGACGTGCGGCTGCCTTCTTCTGAGGAGAGGGAGTGGCCAGGAGGCCTCAGCCCTGAGTGCAAAGCGCACTCTACTGTAGAGGCTCTCCGGGATTCACGATTCAAAGTTTACGAGTGATGGGAGGTGTCTACTTGAGTGGTGGCTGGTCAAGGCAAGGCACTACTGTAGATCCCGATATTTCGTAGCCTGGCGACTAGTATTCAGACCTGAATCACCCGCTCCGCGGAACCTTGGCGTTCACCGTCGCTTCGAGCCCCGTTCCATCGGAGTGACCTTAGCCACCCGAGTGCCTAGTCCAGCCCCTCCTCCTGCAAGTGCGGCGCCAGCTCGGGCCCGGCCCCCCCAAAAGAACGGCAGTCTACGTCTCTGCAAAGCCATAAAGTTCTCACCAAAGCGGAAAAGTCATATGGCTCCGGCCTTTCACTCTCCGTAGAATGGGCCCCCCGAAGTTCGAAGCCTGGGCTGCACGAGCAGAGGATGGGTTCACGCGCGATTCGGCTTTTGCATAACTTTCGGCTGCCAAGCTTCCAGCCCTGGCGGCGGCTCTGCAGGCCCCAAGGGCCTGACCCTTCGGTGTAACGGAGCGCTGCTGGAAGGCCAGCGGGAGCTTGGACTGGCCCAAATTGGCCCTTTCCCGCTCTCTGTGGTGGACCAAGTCCCAATCCACGTGGAGCCCGAAGCACGGCACGAAAAGGTTCGAAAGTTTCTAGGGTGTGTGCAGAGTTCTGGCCATGCGGAGCTCGTGGAAGTATGTGTCAAGTGGTCCAGTCTTAAGAAGTTTCCCAATTCCCTTGCCTTGCTGCCATGGCACAGCTCGTCTCATTGCGGCTGCTTCTCGCCTTCCTGCTGGCAGCTTGCGGGCGTGGTACGGCCCCGGTGGGCTTTGTGCAGCATCTCCCTGCTATCAAGACCCTTCAGGGGCCCATGGGAGAGATGGCAAAGAAAGCGAGGCGCCTTCAGATGGGGATGGACCAGGAATGTATGACCAAGTGCCCTGGCCTCTTGTTTATGATGACGGACCTGATGTCTGGCATGCAGACCAACCCACCTGCAGGAGATAATGCCAGTGATGCTACTGCGGGATTTGATGCCCTTGCAACCATGATGGGAGCAATGTTCACAGCGATGTGCAAGCACTCGGCAGCCATGACGTGCATGATGACAGAGTGCGTGGACCCGAATGCAGCACCTGCAAATGGCGACGCGGGAGCGATCGGCGTTGACTCGCTGCAGCAGTTCATGCCCTGCTTGTGCGACGCTTGCCCGGAGTTTATGGATCTCTTCACAAGCCTTGGGTCGACTGCGGTCTTGCTCGAGAATGTCACAAACATGACGGAGGCCGAAGGGAATCCTTCTGGCAGACACAGGGTTCTTCGTGTGTTGCGCCAGGTGGGCCCTCAAGCCTTGACCGTGATCTGCCCGATGGTCTCAGCCACTGAATGCCTGACGACCAACGCGGCATGTGTCTCGGTTGCATCTGGCGCCATCTTCGGCTGAGGGCGGAGGTGTCTGGCGGCAGAGTCTAGCAGACACCTTGGTGAGTGAAGACATGGATGAAGGTTCGGCCTTCGTCCAATCGAATGACGATCTTGGGCAGAGGACTCAGCATGTCCACCCGGACCAGACCAGTCGACCCGCAAATCCCAACAAGGAACTCCTGGTCGCAACAGGCTTGCAGGCTGACAGTCCAGTTGAGGTTCACGTTCAGGGACACTGCGTCCGAACATTCTCGAAGTTTCCGGTGTCTGGGGTGTTGCTTTTCATCCGACCCCAAAGCCATACTATTCATAGACATATATAATATATATATATATATATATATATATATATCTATATGTATATATAGATATAGATCTCAAGCAACAGCTCTCAAGTCTCAGACCTCGCTTGTAACAACGAGGTCCTCGGTCTCACACCCTCCCTCAATCCTAAATCCCGAAGCCCAAGTAGCACCCCGAAAGCCCCAACTTCCTCAAGCTCAGGGCGGAAGCGGGTAACATCAGCATGATAAAGTCGCAGTGCGAAGAAGCTGGTGTCTTGTCGGCATGGTGATCCTGCAAGACTTCGTGGTGTCCGGCGGTTGTTGTTCAAGGGAATTGGAGTTTGGGGTGAGGCTGCGATGACGGTGCTGATCTGGTCATCACTATCATCACAAGAAGGTTGAGCCCACTTGGTATAAAATATTGTTGGCCATCTGAGTTAAGCGGCCCCTGAAGGCCCGAAAACTCAGAGAGTGGATCATAGCGACGGCGTTGACTGGTGTACCTTCGACCATCCAGTTGAGGAGTCTGCAGCAGCATCGATATCCCAGAGCAGGCATGAAACAAACATGCATCTAAAGCCCACATCTTATCGCAATTTTGGGATAAGGTGACATGTCCCTGCAGATGCGTTCATGCACGGAAGCTACTGAGCAACAGACCGCTTCCCTGCACCCATGAAACGTCTTCGTTGTCGCACCCTTCGCCAGTCTCGGCCGAGGTATTGCGACAGCGCGACTTGTCCTTGACCAGGGTTGGGGTGGACTCCTGTTCGATATTGAGACAGATATTTGTTGGGACGTGTTGTATCAGGCGTCGTTCTAGGTTGACCTGCGATTCAATAAAGGTTCTCTGCACCGTTCAGGCCCAGCTAACGATCTGTTTGCCTTCCCTTCACTGATGGCCTTTTGCTTCATGATACTTTGGGATACAAACTGTGAGTGTTAAGGGCCGCGAACTGTCATGATTCAGGCTGCAGGTCTTTGACGGAGGGGTTGTGAGGACATGGGGCTTGCTTCGCAGGATGTCTGCGAGAGGGTACACAGACTCCGGCCTAATCATGGCCTACAGACTCTGACTCTGCTCTGTCTCTGCTCTGATGCTTGAATCAAATCGGGTTGTCCTGTTGCGGCCTGAATCCTGTTGGTGAACGTGCTACGCCCCGAGCCGTAGGCCGTAGGCCCCAAGCCATCAAAGCCCCGGCCACAGGCCAAGTACTACTACAACAACCAGAACCTCGGCGGATGTTTCGAGCTCTGCCATCACCATTGGAGCAGGCGCACAAGGTTTTTCAATCGTGGGACGAGAACCATTACATGAATGAAAATAGCTTTTCAAATCAAGGGTGCTCCGGTTGTCGTCATTTCCGTTCGTTCAGCCTGCAGTGTTTTGCTTTGATCGAACTTTGTCGGGCATGGGTCCCATTACTGCTGGCTGTGTCTGTGACATGATGCCATGTCGGCTGGTAATGGTAAAGTTTCGCATGAGTTCCTAACTGCAGCCGTAGCCTTGTCACGTGGTTTAGCACATGCTGAAGAAAGGACAAACTGGACTGCAAGCACCAAAGCAGGATACAGTAATCGATGTTCGGGTGCGTGTTGCTGTGGCAGTGGTATTGGCGATGCGTGCAAATTGTTTTGTAGTGCGTTGTGGTTCTGGTTTTTGCCTTATTCGATTTCAGTGTGTGTCTCTGGACACAGCCAGGTGCCTTCTCCATTATCGCCGGCCTGATTTGGAGCTGAGCAGGGCAACATCTTCCAAAGTCGAGCGCACGGACATCTGCAGACCGGGAGGTTCAGACCACCACAGCTAGGTATTGAGCTTGTGCGATGTTTTGATGCAAGCTCTGGAGGTTAGGATATCTGCGCAGCAGAGGCCTGTCATAATCTGTTCGTTACTTTGGATCACTAGGCCCAAGGCTGCATCGTAACATTAGATTTTGATGTTTTGTGACCGGGAATGCCAATGCCAGAGTTCTATCGCAGACTTGCCTAAAGCTTGCCGGCTCACGGCACAACGACTTCGACAGTGAGACGCAGTCCCTTCGGACGCGTGCACGAAGGTTTTTTTGTAGACAAAATTGCACGCACCTTCCACCTACACAAAGCTGCAGAAAAGCTCCTCAGAAGAGGCTGCACTCTGCACTCGTGACCTCTGGCTGTCTTGTCGCCGAGTTCATGCGCGATTGCTGCCAACAAAAACAGCACGGACAAAAGCAGTTGCAGTGATTTGATGAGCAGTTCAAACGCAAGCGTCTAATTGGCAGTGCACTCAAAGACTCGCAACAATCGTACAGGGCTACAAGGTGTGACTTTCAGATTTCGCTCAGCCTGCCATGACTGGGCTGCGGTTTCGTAATAGCAGTTTCGTAGAAAGCAAGAAGCTGGTATTGCCGCGGACAATGAACGCCTCAAGAGGCCACGGCTCACCCATGAGTTTGATTCAGGCGCGCGCTTTAAATGGTCAAGGCTCGTCAAAATCAGCAAAGGCAGCAGTACAACTTAGCCTCTCAAGCGCGAAATCCAAAGCGGCAAACTGCAGCAGATCCCAAGGCCCATGAGTTCGTCGTGCGGGCCCAAGCCAGCACATGCTTTTGGACTTTCAGATCACAGGCCGCTGGTTGTGTGTCGACCCGACTTGCTGCGACAACGCGAAACCATGGCAGCCTCCGCACTCCTCAGGCGGGGAGCGCTCCGCGTACTGCTGTCCCCTGACTTCAAAGTCCTGATCCCATGAGAGGCCCTATGCTCCAAACTCTGAGGTGGCACAGTGTGCACGCGTGATCGAGCGAGGGGCGCGGGATCTCACACCGCGGCAGATATCCCGGCACGCGTTCTGCTGGGTGACGGGGAAGACTGCATTCTCTGAACATGTCTGCCCTCTTTAACCTCTGGGAAGTGAGGGATGTGCCATTGAGCCACGCTGCATCCGGCTGCATTGATGTCTGAACTGCGGATTCCAAGTTGAACTTCTTGGTCCCGTCTGATTGCAGGGCTTGGGCTGGCTTGTTGTGTCGTCAACCCTTGCTGCAGTCCCTCGGATGCGAAGGGTCTCTGGACTTGAGTGCGTAAATTTCACGGTAGGGGCAGAGGTTTCAGTTTAAATCTATGGCGCAGTGGTGGTGTGGTCACTGTAGTTCCTAATTATGCACCACCTTCTGGTTCCTTTAGAACCCCCATGAAGACTCCTCTAAGTACAACCTGAACCCTGAGCCCTAAACCCCTAAGCCCTAAACCCTACTATTCCCTAAACCCTAAACCCTACTAACCTACTATTCCAGCTTTGGGAGTGCCAGGCTCGCCTCTGTGGCTCGGGGCGTTGCGGCGCTGCAGGAAGGGCCGAAGAGCTCCGGTTATATTATATTATATATTATATTACATTATACTATATTATAATGTATTACATTATATTATAATATATTACATTATACTATATTATAATATATTACATTATCTGATACTGTTTGCGGTTTGGGAGTTTCGGGGTTTGGCGCTTGGGGGTTAGGGCCTCAGGGCCCGAGGGCTTCAGAGCCCAGGGCCTTTAGGGTTTAGGGTTTGGGGTTTGGGGTATAGGGTTTAGGGTTTAGGGTTTAGGGTTTGGGGTATAGGGTTTAGGGTTTAGGGTTGGGGATGTTCATGCGGTGCCAGGTGTCAGTCCCGAACGGAGTTTTGCCCTGGCGCCGTTAGTTCAAATCCACTCCATGCCCTTGCCTGTCAGTCTCTCCACGAGAGCCAATAGCAAGGAAAGAGCCTTTGATCTGAAACCTGAGAGGCTAGGCTGCTTCATTATATCCTAAACTCCTGGTTCTAACTCTAGAATTGCTGGCAAATCCTTCGTCTCTAGGAAACCTTGAATCCCAAACGCTCACTGGCTTCACAACCCTCCGGAACCTAGCCTTACAGTTTGCTCGTGTTTTGTTCTTAGTTCTTGTTTGTCTGTTGAGATGTCAGAGAGGCTAAGCAACTAGGCCATCCCAGATCCTGAGTGTTTCGTCTCTTGCCTGTGCTGTTCCTGCATATTTCGATCGTTTCAGTTCCCTGCACCGGACGCGAGGCTTCCGGCAGCCCTTTTGCCTTGCAGCAGGCGAGATCGTCGCAGTGGGAGTGCCCACGTACAGTAGGTATCAGCTGAAATTATATTCTTCAGCGGTTGCTTCTAATTTTTCCAGACAGCTTCGCATGCATCCAGCCGGCTAAGGCTGGAACGATTCTTCGGAAAATCTGGCGAAAGGCACCACGGGCTTGTGCATCCTGCAGTGGAAAGCTTGGGGGGTGAAGCCATCGCCCAGCCAGGGCAACCAGAGTTGGTAGGTAGAAGATGCAAACGGATAAGAAATGCCTGACGTTTTCTGAAAGTGGCATGCCGACTCGCATGATGCTTCGAGCCGCTGTACGCCACAATGTCAATGTCTTGCCAATGCAGTGGCGGCACATGCGGTGACTCCCTTTGGGCTGGAGTGGACTGGGCCGGTATCTTTTATAGTTTCCGATGTTGTGCTGCTTACTAGTGAGTGGCTACTGCCGCCAAGCTGAGGAAAAGGGGGACCCTGCGTACAGTTGGAGCCCTTCAAGCGTGGGGTTGCACAAGACGGATACTTGCTTTTTGTCGCCGGAGGTGGGGACGCACCTGGATTTTGTGGGACCGCAGGAGTTGAAAGACCCGAGCTTGGAGGGGTCGCCGGCTAGCATGGCTTGCATCGAATCCTAGGAGCTGGGCATCTACTGCAGCACCCGTTTCTCGGGATTGAATCCAAGGGCTCTGACCTCTGAGGGTCACGGAGCGCTCCGAGCCATTACAGAACGCAGAAGGAGAATGTTAATGTTTGTCGAAACCGCAGCCCGAGCTCTGAGTTATCTGGAACAGATGCACCCTGCATTTTGGATCTCCTCAATGTCCTTGGGTCCTGAGTCTAATGTCGGCGCCATCAGTGTGGCTCAGGGGAGTCAAGAAGCTCTTCCGTCTCGGTGGTGTTCGGTGTCGGGTTCCCGAAACGGTCCAACGGTGGACAAGCACATGTCGGATGGATGCGCTGTCGTCACCGACATCACTCGTGATGTCTCGGCAGCTTGTTCTGCAGATCAGGATGGTTTGAGTGAGGGCAGTCGTGCATGTGTGAGCAGGCAGCAAAATCTGTCAGAGAGCAGCAGCGAGAGATGTGCCATGAAGTGCCCAGTGGATCGGGAAGAACTCCGATCCTAAGCCTTAAGGGATCCTGGGTCTGAGCCGACCTGAGTTGGGGTGCGGCAGTTGGCCTGCCGCTGACAGGTTTCCTTTCGCCGCAACATAAGCGGGAAGGGTTCGCTGCTACCGCTAGTTTCCCCTGAATCCAAAAACAAGGCAGAAGAAAGACACGTCCGCGCCCACGGTAAAGATGGACGGAGTTAGATACAGGAACAAGGCTAAACCTGAAGTACATGCATCGAAGTCGTAAGTTGTTCTAAAGCTACTCACTCGCCTGAATGAGTCCGTGCGAGTATTGATATCGCACAGCGCCGCCTTCTCAAATTGAGATTACTGGAGTGAGTAATATGCGTGACAATGAGCAGGGCACTCCTCCGAGCGGGCAGTAGGTGGTCAAAGAGCAGGTGAAGAATGTGCAGGCCCGAGGGTACCGTGTCGGAGTTTTATCCCAAACACAGAACACTGTGCATCTCACGGGTAGCACGTTTCTCCATGCACAGCTGGGTCGACTGGTTTAGATAAGATGTATTTCTGTTTGTGATTTATCGCGGGTTGGGTAAACACACACAAGCCTATACATCACATGGAAGATGGTTCGAAGCCCATTGAAGCCCGAAGCCTCCGACGAGGCACTCCTTATGCATCGTGGGAGCGGGCCCTGCCGGCCTGCAGCGTCTCGGATGGACCTTGTCAGGCTTTCCCAGATCATGCAGCTCTTTGCATGATGCAATGTATGCAATGCTCTCCGTGACTACTGCCGAGGGAAAGACTTCAAAGTAATGCCAGCCAAAGTTATGCAAGTGAAATATGATGTCGTCAGTCAGATCAGCAGGCCCCACCTCCTCCCTCCCTCCCTCCCTCCC